ACTTATGGTAATGATACTCCTTGCCCCTACCCCAACCACTGTAACTAATCTTACTTTATAACATCCCTACCTCCTCCCCAAAAGATTTGCCCCAAACTATAAAACCAACTCCTATCCTACCACCCTTCGCTAATGCCCTTTTCTGCCTTAGCCCACCTGCACCCAGGTGAAGAAACAGCCATGTTGCTCACACAAAGCCTGTTTGGAGGGTTTCTTTATTCAAAGCATGCATTTTAACATTTGGTGCCAGAAACCCAGGATGGGAGAACTCCTACGGGAGACCAAACCCCCGTCCCCGTTCTTGTGCTCCCTCCATGAAGAGATCTACCTATTGACCTGGGGTCATCAGACCAGCCCATGGACACACACCACTGGCTATTTTGGTAAACCGTCTCTCTTTTTTGCTTTCCCATTCTTTTGTCTTTTCCTTTCCACTTCCTCCCCCTTTTGGCTTCATCCTTTTTCCACCACAAAGACAAGGAAAATCAGGTAAACCAGGTCCTTCCATGTGGTTCAGGACAGGAAAAAATCCTATGTAAGTCACAGATCTGGGGACCCAGCTTTCCCCAGGGGTTTAACTATCATGAAGACGTTTACCCTAGTCACTCGCCCAACAGGCTTATGGCCAATATTGGTGGCAGGTCAACATAGAAGATGCTCTGCTCATGGCCAATATTGGTGGCAGGTCAACATAGAGGACGCTCTCTTTGGCCGCTCACCAATGAGGAGGTTCAACCCAGGCTCAACTAGGGTCGCCTATTGAGCGGCTATGTCCCATGCCCATTTTCCTTGTCTCTTCTGCCTTTCCAGAACCATGCATGGGCAACCGTCCGTCCTCTATCCCTCCCTCCTCTCTGCTGGCCTGTGTTCTAAAGAACCTCAATCCTCTTCAACTGTCTCCTGACCTAAAACCAAGTGTCTCATCTTCTTCTGTGAACACTGCATTCTCTTTACTGTGCCACTGCATGGCCACAATACAAGTTAAACAATGGATCCAACTGGCCAAAAATTGGCACCTTTAGCCTCTCTGTTTTACAAAATTTAAACAATTTTTGTCACAACATGGGCAAAGGGTCTGAAATTCTCTATGTCCAGGCATTTTTTTTTAACACATCAATCCCTCCCTAATCTCTACTCCTTCTCTTCCCTTCCATCTGCCCCTCCTTCCTCTACCAGTAACCCAGAATCCTCCTTGTCCATCAACCCTTCTGACCTTTCTCCTCCCGCCTGTGTAAACCAGTCTCTAAACCAGGACCTAACCCCACCCTCCAGAGCCTCCCTCCTCTTCCTCTGCCCACAACCCACCTCCTTATGCCCCTCCTGTCACCTGCCCGCCTTATACATGGTCCAGCTTACAGTTTAGTCCCTCGGCACCTCCTCTGCCCCTGCCCAACAATTCCCCCTTCCAGAGGTGGCTGGAGCAATAGGCATAGTTAGGGTGCACTTCCTTTCTCTCTGTCTGACCTTTCCCAAACTGACCAATGATTAGGCTTCTTTTCATCACATCCTCCAATACTTAATTAACCCTGTCCTGTAATCTCACCTGGAGTAACTTAAATGTCATCCTTACTTCTACTCTCACCCCTAAAGAACACTTAATATGCATTTTATCACCCTATTAGCCCCTGATATTACAAAAAGGTATAGAAATTAAAATCTGGCCCTCAAATCCCACAACAGGAATTAAGCAACCTCACCTTCAAGGTGATCAATAATAGCAAAAAATCCGCCCAGCAGCAGCACATCTCAGAACTACCGATGCTTGCCTCTTCTCTAAGACAAACCCCAGCCACACCACCGGCTCACAAAGACTTCAAAGCATCCAGCCACCCCTCCCAAACCTTGCTTCAAGTGTTGGAAACCTGGCCATTCTGCCAGGGAATGCTTGCAGCCTGGGACTCCTCCTAAGCAGTGCCTCGCCTGTGCTGGGGGGGCCCCCACAGAAAGTCAACTGTCTAACTCACGTCCCTGCTCCCAGATCTCCTGAAGCTCCAATCTTCGGCGTGGCAGCTAAAAACTAACGCTACCCAAGCATCTTGGAAGCCCCCTGGACTATCACGAATGCCAAACTTCGAGTAACTCTTAAGGTGGAGGGTAAGTCCATCCCCTTCTTAATCAACACAAAGGCCACCTACCCCAAGCTGCCTTCTTTTCAAGGACCTGTCTCCTTGGCCTCTGTAACTGTTGTGGGAATTGACGGCAAGGCCTCCAGGCCTCTCAAAACTCCCCAAGTCTGGTGTCAGTTAGGCCAGAAATACTTTCTACATTATTTTCTAATCATCCCCACTTGTGCAGTTCCCCTGTAAGGCCAAAATATTCTAGCAAAATTGTCTCTCTCCCTGACTATTCCTGAGCTACAGCCACACCCCGTTGCTGCCCTCCTCCCCAAACCCGTACCTCCCTCAATAGCTCCCCTTATGTCCCTCTATTTAACCCTAGGGTGTGGGACACCAACTTCCCATCCGTTGCGACAAGTCACTCACCCCCATCATCCCCCTAAAACCTAACCACCCTTACCCTGCCCAGTGTCAGTGCCCCATCCCACAACTAGCTTTAAAAGGCATAAATCCTGTCATCACCCGCCTATTGCAACATGGCATTTTAATTCGCCCTCCTGCTTCTTCAGCATCTATGCTCAAAGGGGTATCATGTATCCCCTTCCAAAGCCGAAATTCTTCCCCATCTGTTATAATCTTTCGCCAGCATACACACGCTCTCCCTGCCAACTGTATACGGTTAATTTCCAAACCCCAACTCCATCCACCAAACAACAGCTTCTCTCTTTCCTGGGTGTGGTTGGCCACTTTCATCTCTGGATACCAGGTTTTGCTATTCTAACTAAGCCATGGTATAAACTCACTAAAGGAAACGTATCCAACCCTATTAATCCTAAATCCTTTCCTCACTCCTCTTTTTGCTCCTTAAAGACAGCTCTAAAAACTGCTCCCTCCCTAGCTCTCCCCAATGTGCCTCAATCCTTTTCATTATATACTGCTAAAACCCAGGGCTGTGCGGTCAGGATTCTTACACAGGAGCCAGGCCCCAGGCCTATAGCATTTTTATCCAAACAACTTAACAGTCCTGGACTGGCTATGCATGGCATGACTACGCACAGCAGCAGCTGCTGCCCTGATACTTTTAAAATCCCACAAAACCACAGGCTATGCCCCACTTACCCTCTATAGCGCTCACAACCTCCAAAGTTTCCTCTTTACGCCTCACACACTTTCAGTCCCTCGCCTTCTCCGGTTTTATGCAGTCGCCCCTACTGCTTAAACTGTTGTATTTGACCGAATGTAGAAAGTTATCACAAGACAAAAGTATGCCAGATTGTAGGGTCATTTTATTATGCCGGCGACCACAGAGGACTCACGTCTCTCCAACCTGTGGTGGCAACAGGAGGGTGCCACGGTTTTTTTATACCCGAAAAACCACCTTGGGAGTGGGGGTGAGGGGCAGGGATGGGGATGAAAAGGCTTCAGACATTCCGAGGGCTAGTGGATTCTGTAAATTACCTCCTGGGCAGAGATGAGGGTGGGGGTCTCCGGACATTCCAAGGGATGGGGACTTTTGTCATTCCGTTTGTTACTTAAGTGGTTTACAGAAGCCAAAGATAAACATTTGTTTACACATTATCTGGTTAAGGTGGAAATCACAGACCTTAGTTACTTATTACAAGCCACAGGAGCCAGGATGGAACTAGCTTGGGCTGCTTAGTCTGGCAATTGCCGGTGAGCAAAGGCTAGCAATTCTGGCAGTTACTGATAAGAAAAGGTAAACAGCTTTACATAGTTTTGAAGACAAACTAACAGTTCTATTTACAGAGGCCAAGGACAGTAGTTGTTGTAAGGAGAATGGGGCAGCCATTTCAACTTATCTAAAAACAGTTTTGCATTTTATAAAATAGTTTTGCTCTGGTTCTGGCTCTAGGCCAGCACAATATCACAAAACCACACCTTAAAAAGTCTCTGTTTCTATTATTTTCTGTCTAATTGTAATGAAATTCACTGTACTCATTTACTTTTACATGCCCTGCTTTTGTTTAAGTTTCCTGTTTACACTTTTCCTCCAGGCAATTACAGCTAATATTTCACTCTTTATCTGGTTCCCATTCTCTGCTCATACCCAATCTTGTTAATAAAAGCGAATGGTTGCTTATAAATACCACACGTTTCTTCATACACCATGAAAACAAAAGCTCTCCCTCCACACAGTTACCCTCCCAAGCCCTGCTACAACCTTTAACAGCGGCAGCCCTTGCTGGTTCCATTGGCATTCGGGTCCAAAGCTCCAGCCCCTCAGAACAGTTCCTCACCTTTTCAGTTTACACTTCCAGTTCTGTCTAAGCCAAGTACATTTTTTTTTCCTCTGTAGTTCTGCCTTCCTCCCAACTGGATAGGCATTTATATCCTAGTTTTTCTTACTTCCAAATTCAGTTTGCCAAAGGGGACAAAAGCCTCCCTGTTCCTCTTGTGATTGAGACACAACACAAGCGGGTCATTTCATTAACACCCATACTTGTAGGGTTAGAAATTACTACTGCACTTGGCACAGACCTTACTGTTGTACCAGAGCCAGAATAGAAAATCAACACCAAGACAAAAGTATGCCAAATCGCAGGGCATTTATTGCTGGCAGCCACGGAGTACTCATGTCTCTCCAACCCGTGACCCCTAAAGGAGGGTGTCAAGACCTTTTATGTCTGTAAATCACCTCCTGGGTGGGGGTGAGGGTGAGAGGCAGGGGTGGGGGTGAGGGACTTCAGACATTCCAAGGGCCAGTGGACTTTGGACATTCTGTAAACAACCTCCTGGGCGGGGGTGAGGGTGAGGGGCTTCAGACGTTCCGAGGGCTAGGGGACTTTGGACATTCCGATTGTTACTTAAGTGGTTCACAGAAGTCAAGATAAGCATTAGTTTACGCATTGCCTGGGTAGGGTGGAAATTACAGACCTTAGTTACTTATTACAAGTAGCAGGGGCCAAGATGGCGTGGTTTTGGACTGCTTGCCTGTCACATCAGGGTTACAGGGAATAGTTTCAACAGAAAGCCGAGGTATGGTTGAGGTATGCAGTTTTACGGGGTATTTACCATGTCACATTAGCACTTCAATCGGCACCTTCCATAGCCTCTTTAATAATTTTCTGCTAGCATTGGAGAATTAACTCAATCATTATCCCCCCTTCAAACTCAAGTAAATTCCCTAACTGCTCTTGTCCTCCAAAACTGCAAAGGCCTTAATTTACTAACTGCTGAAAAAGGTCTTTGCCTATTCCTAAATTTAAAAAAATGTTGTTATGTCAACCAGCCTTGCCTTGTATAAAATGACATCAATAAATTAAAAGACAGAGCCCAAACGCTCACTAATCAGGCAAATGGTTATTCGGGACCTGGCTGGACTGGCTGGGCACTCTCTAACTGGGAGTCATGGCTTCCTCCAATCCTTAGTCCTCTGATACTATCTTTCTCCTTCTCTTATTTGGACTCTGTGTTTTACCAATCAATCTCTCAATTCCTACAAAATTGTATACAAGCTATAACTCATCAGTCAATACAACAAATACTCCTTCTTAAACAACCCCACAATATCACCCCTTTCCCTGAAATCCCACAGCTGTCTAAATTCTTTCCCATTTTTAGATTTCCGCGCCACCCCCAATCCTGCTCAAAGAAGCCATGAGAAACTTTGCTCCCCACCCCCCTGAAACCTGTCATCACCCCCTCTTCTCTAATTCTTTCTCTCTATGTATAAAAAGACAGGTATATCAGGCCTCCATGTGCAAGCCGGGACCCAGAAAGTCTAAAGTCCTGCCTTCCTTGGCTTATCACCCCCACCCCCTGCCTGCATTTGCCATTATCCCTCATCGCCCAGTGGAGCTTCCCCCAGACATTAAGCTTCTAAATCCACCCTGCCATCTTCACTGTCATTGCGATAATGTGGATACTCCTCATCCCACTCTGCCATCTTAACTGATCTTACAATAATGTAAATACTCCTTACCCCACCCTGCCATCTTAACTACACTTAAGCCTTACCCACCCATCATTGTAACTGAACTTATGGTACTGTATACTCCTTGCCCCTACCCCCACCACTGTAATTAATCTTACTCTGTAACACCCCTGTCCCTTCCCCCAAAAATTTACCCCAACCTATAAAACCAACTCCTGCCAGGCACAGTGGCTCACGCCTGTAATCCTAGCACTTTGGGAGGCCGAGGTGGGTGGATGACCTGAGGTCAGGTGTTCAAGACCAGCCTGGCCATCACGGTGAAACCCCATCTTTAAAAAAAAAAAAAAAACAACTCCTATCCCACCGCCCTTTGCTAATGCCCTTTTCGACCTTAGCCCACTTGCACGCAGGCGAATAAACAGCCATGTTGCTCACACAAAGCCTGTTTGGAGGGTTTCCTCATTCAAATGCATGTTTTAACAGAAGTGAAATATCACTTCCATAGGACACATATAAAGATAGAGATATAACCAGCATGCAGAATAAAATGCATGTTTAAAAGTTACTTTATTTGCCTGTTTACAAAACATTTTTTTTCCTTACTTTAGATAATTTGTAAAAGTTACAGGAACCAAGAAAAGGTGAAGGAGAGAGCTATTATTCAAGGCCTTTTCAAAAAAGAAAGAGTGACACTTTTAACATATCAATCTGAATAATATTAAAGAAACATTCTTAAGTTTTTAAAAATTTACAAACTTATTGCACTAAAAGTAAGTCAATATTAATCATAAAATCTTGTTTTAACCAATTACTTATTTTTGTATTAGTACACTTTTAATATTAAATACCCATCTCTAGAAAGACTATTATAATTTCTTTTCAATTATAGCCAACTGAATTATGTGTCCTCTTTAAAAAATTCATTTTACTAACCTCGTTATTACTTACATAAGTGGTAATTTTATTCTGCTGGGAGCTGCCAAGCCATAGATGCCTCAACAACCGAGCTCCTTGACAAAGAAAACCCTGGCCCTTTTAAAAGGCTTAAAGTCTGAGAGGTGCACATATGAGAGGGTCAAGAGCATGGGGAACGTGACTTAGGTGGGGAGTCTAATGGTGATTAAGCAAGAACAGTACCTTCCAGGGAAAATTCCCCCATATCATATCTGTGATCTATAGAGAGGATTGTGGTTAGCAGTAGGGGGTTTAATCATTTAGACCTGACAGCCACCAGCTGGTCCCTCCTCTGGCTAACTTTTAACTTCTCCTTTTGAGATGCAAGGTAGGAGGCTAAAGGGGAAATGGCCTTAGAAGCTCGGGAGAAGGGGTCTCCTTCCTCACATTCACAATGTGTTTAGACTGCTTTCTCTTATTCTTTTTTTCTTGTACAATCCTGTCTTTTGATTTTAGGACAAAAATCTACTGCACAAGATTATTTCGTGTATAAAATTAATTTTCTTTTTAACTTTTTTTAACCAAAAATACTTCTTTATATCTTTAGCTTTCTTTACATCTTATTTTCTGATTCCTTTACCTTGTTTTATACATAACATTTAAATAAGCCTTGAATTAGACAAATATATTTTACCTTTAATAAGAATATTTTAAGCATGTTTTCCTATAATTCTCAACTTGAAATCACCTATTTACTTAATGTCAATTAATAACCTTAGATCCTAAATTATGAGTTTGTTTATAAGCATTTATTTCATTACATTTATGCAATTAATTTAGTACTTTACCTAGATTATTTACAAAAAAACTCTGATAGCCATTTAAAGTTGTTTTTTTTTTTATTAACTGATTTTATAATTGTGAATTTCAGATATTTACCATAATAAAAGTTATTGTTAGTTTTAAGGGTATTTATGCCAATAATTCAGTATTTGGCTGTTTCATTTAAGACAACATTTCATAAGTATATACAAACAAAGATAATTCTCTCTTGGGCTGGGTTTTATAGTTTATAACCCTTATGGCAAATCTTATAGTATTTTGCAGGGATAAACATGAAACTACTTGATCAATAAATGCAAACAAAATGCTAAGAATCCTAAAGACGTTGCTGATATTACTTTACCAACAAATTTAAAGCCAGCTTATTTAGTAAAGATTTTACTTAAGTCATGTGAACTTGAAAAAGTATTTGACGAATCATTTTTTTGTATCTGACTTAAGCACTTTTTTAAAAAAGCCAATTAGAGTTCTTTATATATTTTAATAGTGAAAATATTGTGTACACACTTAAATACATAGACATATTAGGCATGCTAATAAAAGCATGTCATATAGATTTATCAAGGCTCCCTTTTTTATACATTTTTTTAGCAATCTTACCCCAGGCAGCTGTCAGTTAAATAGCCTTAAATTTGCATACTAAAGGCAACTCAGGTGAAAATCAGTTAGTAAAATTCATGTCATAACCTAGAAAGAAAGTCTGTCGAGCTAGAGGGAAATTTAGATGAATTCAATTGCCAGTTAAACATAAAATTATAGAAGTCTAATACAAAGGCCTTTAAATATACACACACATATACACACACACATACACACACAAAGTTCCCATAGCTATTACTTCCGTAATTTAGACATGAGACAAATACAACTTCACCAGCTTGCAAAAAACACTTAGATCCAAGCAATGGTTTTTATCTCAGTAGAAAAGTAACAGCAGATTACAGCAGGCAGAAAAGCAAATAGATTCTAGGTACTCTGTAGTTTGCAGGTTGACCTGAGGACTCTTTCCTTAATATAAATGTGCACGAAGACCATATTATTTTCATTTTATATAAACTCTGGCAAGTACAGATGCCATAAAACCTACGGAGTGCCAGAAAAGTGGTCATTCTTCTTGTTTTCTTCCTATTTTTAGATTCGTTTCCTGATTTTTTTTTCTTCTTTCTAATAAGGAGGAACTGAGCTGTAGCCTAGGTTTTTTGCGTAGTGGATTGATGCATGCTGGTTGTGGGTAGGACTCCATAGTGTTTCACCACTGAGTCATTTCCTCCCTCTTGTGTTTCTCAGTTTCTCTTTCCAGGTCTGTGACCACTGAGAGGGCTCAAAACACTGAGTGATAAGCTCTTATATGCATTTCCTGTACAAGCCATTTTTTAAATTAAATTTGTCAGGGATTTCCCTACAGGAGTGCTGCACATCATAGCGGGGTTAACCCTGAAGACACTCTCACAAAGCTCGTGGTCACCCAAGGGCACCTTTCATCTGGATGGAGCAAATATGCTTGCTCTTCAGAGCTGAAAAATTAAGTCTGTCATTTATCTATGAACACAACAGTTCAATTCCTCAGGTGAATGTGTACGGATAAACCGAATAAGGATAACTTTTAGGAGAAAAAGCAACAAAAAAAAAATCCCTTTAGAATGCATCCCTGAACTAGAATTAGAGTTTTTTAAAAACTCCTTCCTAGGAGAAAACCAGCTCAGAAAAAATCAAGGTTTATCAACCAAGGTGAGTTCTGGGGCTCAGGAGGACTTTCCAGTTCGATCAGAGGAGAAATTTGAACTCAGTGAGACTTCAATGGACCTCTGCTTGTAACTAAGCTCCAGTTTTGGGCAACTCCTTGGGGTCCTGAGTCTTCTCTGAGGCCCCACATTGAGTGCCAAAATTATTATCAATGAAAAGGGTCAAACTCTTTAAAACATTGTAAGAGATTTATATATTTTTAATGAAGGCATGAGACATCAATCAAATACATTTAAGAAATATATTGGGTTTATTCAGAAAGGCAGGACAACTCAAACCCGGGGCTTCCAGGTTGTCAGTACATTTAAACATTTTCTGATTGAAAATTGCTTGAGTTTTTATCTGAAGACCTAGAATCCATGGAAAGGAATATTCGGGTTAAGATAAAATATTGTGGAGACCAAGTTTTATTGTGCAGAGAAATCTCTCACATAACAGATCTCAGAGAGAGAGCAGGTTGTAAAATGTTTCTTATCAGATTAAAAGAGTGTCTGGCTCTTAATTTATAATCTCCTGGATCTAGAAAGAAAGGAAGAAAAACAATGGGGAAAGGGGATTTTCTATAGCATTTTGACTTTTTCCACAACAGACTTTGCAGGGCAATTTTCAGGTATGACAAGGAAATACATTTTTGGGTTAATTTTTTTTTCTTGTCTTGTAATGTTATGCCAGAGTCAGATTGAAAAGTCACAATATATAGGGTCAAGTAAAACCTATCTGTTGAGAATTTGTGGTTTGTAATGCATGACTCCCTAGACCCCTTAAATAGGAATTTGGGCAAGATAAACAATCAGAGCTTAAATCTTATTAAAAAGCTAAGTTCTTAAAAATTCTATATCTGTCAAAACATTCCTTCAAAAATTAGGGAGAAATTAAGACATTTATAGCTAAACAATAACAGATTTATCACTACTAGACCTGTCCTACAAGTATGGTTAAAGGGTGTCATTCATGTTAAAATGAAAGAACATCAAACAGTAACTCAAACCATATGAAAATATAAAAATCTCCAAAAAGGTAAATATTTATGAAACATTATAAAGGCCAGTGTTATTGTAATTTTGGTTTATAACTCAATTTTTGTCTTCTGTTGAATTGAAAAGGCAAATGATGAAAAATAATTGTATATCCATGTTAATAGGCACAGAATATATTAATAAATTTTGTGATATTGATAATACAA